CTCTAACTTCAGCACTTGCCTAGTGTTGGAGAAGAATCATAGCATTAAGTTCAGCTGGTGATTCTAGGGGCCTCTCAAGTTTTCTGTTCAAAGCAACTTCTTTGTCCTTAGTACCCAGCACCCTTGCCTGACCTGCGTTGCTTGGTCTCATCAGTCTCTAAAACAAACCAGACTGAAGCTATTTTTATAGGCAGCTTCCAGATAGTGGGCGTCATCCACGCACCATCACAAAGTTGGAGGGAGAGGGTTTCTCCCACTAGCTTTGTGCTAAGTTAGGGGGAGCGACTCAACCCCATCTGTTTTCTGTTGGCTGGGCAGGTAGAGTGTGTCCTGTCCCATGCCTCCTCATCTTTCTGAGACAGGCCATCCAGACCAAGGAAACCTGAACATTGCTGTGTGGTGCTCCCCTTTGTCTCCCCTCGGAGAAGTTGGGAACTGGGGTTTGTGTCTCAATGACATGGTCTTGTGCAAGGATAGGTACTAAGACAAGTGGATATCATGAGTTTCACTGACAGCTTTGCTCTGACTGGTTCCATGTTTGAATAGGGTTTAAGAATTTGAATATTTTGTGGCTTTTTTTTGCAAAATTGATCTGTACATAAACATTTTGAAACATTGTGTTCATGGAAATGATTAGGGTTCCTGTTCTGCCATCTTGCTGAATGTAGAAGGTTTATTTTTTGGTCTTCATTAGAGGATGTACAAAGCTAGAGTCAAGGGAAACCATAAATAGCACATTATGTTCCCAAGGAATTAAACAGACTAATGTCCTAAGTGTAAATATAACCCCCTTATCACCTTATTACAGAAAGAACTGTTCCCAAGAGAGAGTATGAGCAAATTACTATCCTTTGGCAATCTAGTATATATCATTAAACTTAGTTTAAATCTTCTGAATCCTACTAAGTGGAAAAAATGATGATAGACTATTCATTTTTGTCTACTTTGGAGGATTCAGGGTCATAATCAAGTACGATGTTGTATAGTTCAGAAATATTTAGAGCATATCTGATTACCCTGGGCTGCCTTTTCTTACAATCAAAGGAACTTTCAAAGCCTTGGTGCCTGAAACTGACCATCCCTATCCATGGGAGTAATAATAATGAAGGATGAAGGGTTTCTGTTATAAGGTGAGTTTCTGAGTTCCATTTAAATTAATATCATCATTTTTGTTAACTCCCAAGGACCTAAGATAGGGCACATCCCCCCCCCCCCCCCCGTCAGTTTTTCAGTCCTGAGAATTAATTGTAATTGGTGGAAGAAGCTGTTTGATGGGGAGCTGGAATATTTTAAAGTTACTAGTGGGTTCAAAGGTTGTACCTTTTCAGTCAGGAAGATACTTCTCCAAGGATAAATCTATTTTTCTATATCATGAATTTTCTGATATGAAGGAGGATTTTAACTTCTTCCAAATTGTTTATATTTGGGACCAGAATCTTAGTTCCTACCCTAATAATTCTCATCTACACTAGACACAGCACTAGAGACCTGGGGGTTCGCCTCAACTTTTTTTTTATTTATTTATGCATACAGAACTGGGGTATAGGCCAGAGGTACAGGAGCATTGAGAGGATTCATTCACTAGAGACAAGAGTGGGGAGCAGAACCGGCTAATCAATGAAGTACACTGCTGAGGAGAGCAGTGAGCGAGTCAGGAGAGGTCTGCCGCACCATGTGGATCGCCTCCGGGGTGGGGTTTGAACTCATGCTGAAGTGGCTTTAGCTTCTTGGTGCTGTGCTTTAACCTGCTGCGCCACTAGAGAGGACCTCCACATTTACTACTGAGAGAGGGTTGAAGTGAATGAAGTGTATAAATAAAAGGTGTGATAAAAGAAAGATGATTCTGTCACAGTACAAAAATTTTCTCCCATATCTGTAGACTTGCACAGCTTCATGTTCGTTAATGGAATCAATAGCCTTCACATCAGTGGCTGAATTTTGATGGTCAAGGGTACATTTATTTTAGTAAAACTCTTAAAAAAAAAGAGTCCACCTCACTATTTAATGATAATGATTGAGTAGATTCCATGGCTCCAAACTGATCTAGTCTCAGATGATCAAGGTGCATGTGCCACTTTTCTGAAGGGAGACAATGTAAAAGATGAGTTGTTTTCTTTGTAATTTTATTCTCTGTATCCACAGATTCTCCTAGAAAGGAATGGCTCCCAGAAATGGCTCTTTTGTGACTGAATTCATTCTGATGGGGTTAACGGATCGAGCAGATCTCCAGCTTCCCTTGTTCATACTGTTTCTAATAATGTATATAGTCACGATGTTGGGAAATTTGGGTTTGATAACTCTGATTTGGTTGAATTCACACCTCCATACACCCATGTACTTTTTCCTCTTTAATTTGTCCTTTATTGATCTCTGCTATTCTTCTGTGTTTACACCAAAAATGCTGATTAACTTTATAGCAGAGAAAAATTTTATCTCCTACATAGGGTGTATGACCCAGCTTTATTTTTTGTGTTTTTTTGGCATTTCTGAGTGCTATGTCCTGACATCAATGGCCTACGATCGCTATGTGGCCATCTGTAACCCTCTCACATACAACATTGCCATGTCTCCTAAGGTGTGTTCCAGCCTTATGTTTGGTTCCTACCTGGTGGCATTTTCTGATGCCATGGCTCACACAGGATGCATGCTGAGACTGACCTTCTGTGATGCCAATAACATCAACCATTATTATTGTGACATCCTTCCTCTGCTTGAGCTTTCCTGCACAGGCACCTATGTCAATGAACTGGTAGTTTTCATCGTGGTGGGCATCAATGTTATTGTGCCCACTGTCACTATCTTCATCTCTTATGGCTTCATCATTTCCAGCATCCTCCGCATTAGCTCCAAAGATGGCAGGTCCAAAGCCTTCAGCACCTGCAGCTCCCACATCATGGCTGTTTCTCTCTTCTTTGGATCAGGTGCATTTATGTATCTCAGGCCCTCTTCTGCTGGGTCTATGGATCAGGGAAAAATCTCTTCTATCTTTTATACTAATACAGTTCCCTTGATGAACCCTTTAATTTATAGCTTGAGGAACAAAGATGTTAAATTTGCTTTGAAGAAAACCATACATAGAAGAAAGTTTTGATCAGAAACAGTGTCTTAGTATACGTAGTTAAAGATTAGGATGTTCTCTCTGTTTCATTAAAACATAGCAATCTTTGTATTCTATTTGAGTCTTCTCAAATAGAAATCTGAGTCTTCTATTGTAAATTTATTAACAATCCTTACTGATTAGATCTCTCCTTCCTTACCTTTCCTCAAAGTCTTCTCTACTTTTTTGTTTTGTTTTAGTTTTAATATTAAATAAGGTTTACATTATCTGTATTTCATTGTGAATATACTTTTCCTTTGGAAAACAGGGTGGTCTTAAAAATCAAGTAGTATTTGAGGGAAATAATACAGAGGAGATTATCTGACATTTTCTATTTGAAGCATCAATCACATGCTTTTCTACTCCCATCTTTCTATCTTCTGCTTAGAAAGAATGTGTTCTTGATATTGCTTGATATTGAAGTTTCCATAAAATTTCATAAGAAGGACAATCTATTTTGCACTGGTGTACATAATGAATTAAGCTTGTTTTCGCAAAGTGGTTTCTATTTTAACTATGGGCAGGCAACATATATGAGATTGTCAAAAATATTTGCATTTGACTCAGACAGGTCAATGACTCAAGTCACAAAACTTCACAGAGAAAAGTCTTCATTTAATAACCCTTAGTCTTCTGATATGGAGTCTACAACCTTTTGTAGTATAATTTGTTACTGCTTCATTCTTTTATCTTGTTTCAGTCACCATGGAATATGAGAAAGCATTGCAAATTTGAAAGTTGCTTGTGCTTTGTTCTAAGATAACACATCTCAGGGTTGGTAATGTTTTTAAGTTGTAGTTTAGGGAAACAGTTTTTTGATTCTTTTTGTTGGATAAAGTAGTATTTTGGGGAGGTGACAGGCTTAAATAGAGGTAGTTTTTGTGCAAAATTAAAAAAAAGCAAATGAGTATTTGCTAGTGTTTGTAACTCAGAAAACAGCACAGTGGGAAAGGGAGCTCAGAAACATGTTATCAGGCCAAGACCTCACAAGGCATATGACCTATAAATCAGATATTTCCATTTGGGGAGTGGTCATAAGAATTAGATACACACATACTTTGAATTAGCATGTTGTTTTTAGAGTATTGTGAATCTTGTTCAAAAACTTCATTAAGACTCCAATGCTTCCAAAATACAATGATATCCCCCCAAAAAATTGTGTGGGGGGAACAGTGATGATACATTAGTAGTGTGATGCAGAATGAAGGTGGAAAAGTCATGACCAATTTGGGAAGTAAGCTTCAAGAGACAAAATAGTGTGGGATAATTGAAACTCAAACAGGAGGAAGAAATTTATAAAGCAAAGTGGTAGGTAGTGATAACCTGTACTTATTACTCTCATCTCCCTCTGTAAAATTTTTATGGAGATTAAAATATTTATCTAGATAAACAGAATAGTTAAGTTATTTGATATTAAAATATGTTGAACCAACAGAACTTTTAAACCAACCTTCCTGCTGTTATTGGGTCCATGAGCCACTTGCATATGATTGTAAGGTACAAAAACCTCAAGTTGCAGCTGGAATGGCAGTCACAACTTAGAGGGAAAATTTGGTGATAAACCAAGTTACCACAATGTCTTATATGAAGTCTGTTTCATCCTTCTCTGTGTGTGTGTGTGTGCGCGCGCGTGTGTGTTTGGAAAATGGCACCAAATACTATTACTTACAAATCTTCAACTTGATTTATTAAATGACAATTTAAAATAAAAAAAAATGCTTTTCATAATAGTCACAGTCATTTTCTGGATCTTCACTCAATTTCAGATACTTGGAATTTTAACATGACTGGTTTGTTAGCTTATTCTTGTTTTGAATGTCTACATTGCTAATTTCTTGTCCGGTAATTTTAAATGACCAGTCACACTTCATCCACTGATATCAATGTAACACTCATCGTTAGAACTTTCTAACTTCTGTTGTAAAAATAGTTAATTTGGTTTGTGTTCTTTCCTTTGCTTACTTGTTACGCCTTTCAGAAAACTTATATTCTTTAATGAGGAAAATGTGCATCTAAGCAATAATATCTGTGGTGTTTGAGATCAGTTTTAAACATTGTGAAGGCACAGCCACTCACTTGCTTTCATTTCATGAATCCCAAGATCCAACTGACATGTTTTATCAGAAAAAAACTTCTTTGTTTTACAAGATACTGATACAATCTTAATTTGCTTAATGTTAGCTTTCTCTAAGTACACTGATCTTGTTGCTTCTCATCAGGTTTGTAATAAACATAATCAGAGACTGTGACTGTTAGAACTGATGAAAACAGTAAGTAAAAGGGATTTTGAATTCTATATCCCTTTCTGCTGAGCTCCCCACCCCAGCATTTATTGAACCTTATTCTCCACTGTTCTTTACACAGCCGCAACACACACACACGTGTTCAAGTTATAGTTTATGAGATTCTTGCGTTTACTCTTCGCAAGGACATCGAAGTAGATGGTTCCTCTTCCAGCTCCATAAAATAGGACTGTGTAGGAAGTACTTACTGAATCTGGCAAAAGGAAATGGGTATTGCTTTAGTCAGTATTTTTTTTTTTAATAAAAAATACCTGGCCATGTGTGGCAAAATAACCTATGTGACAAAGACTAGAGAGTCAACATAAGAGACTGGTGGAAGGATACATTTTCATAATGTAACACAGTAGTGATGAATCCTACATGGACTGATTAAAAAATTGGTCTGACAGAGTTGGAATTACACCTGGAAGTTGATCATTTCAGCAAATGCCCTCCTCAGGGGACAGACCTGGTATTTTTGCCCAGGCAAGGCACAGCTGGTTTTGTTCTCACACACTGGGACATTTCACTGTGCATCCAGCCTTGTACCAGGTGAAATATTGGCTTATATACAGGGATTTGCTGTGCAAACTGTGTACTTTTAAATTGAAATCTCACAAAGTCTTCTAAATTTTTACATTCTTAGGTACAGACCCCCAAGATGGATGGCTGGTAGTCACAGGGCTCTTGCAAGTCTCTCTTGAATAGACTCTCCTAGGAAATAGAGGCATGAGCAAGCTTTATATTTACTTTCAAGAGTGTTGATGCTAATGTTTTGTTCATAATCAGTCACTACTTATAAGTGGTAGTACTGAAGTTAGGTCCTCAACCTCAACCATCTGTGGTGCTTTTAAATTATCATTAAACACACTTTTCCATTATTTTGAAAAATCAATTAAATATAAAATCAATTTTAGTGAATACAAGAAACTCTGAGCAGAAATATGTGCAAAATATTTTAAAAATTCACATTTATTATACAGAAATTATTTCATACTTAATATCTGTATTATATGCCTACACAATAAGTGGAGACACACAAAGATCAACTACAAGTCATTATACCAGGTGTTTACTAAGTCCTAGTTTCAGTGGTAAAGTTGGACATTCAATATCTTATTTAATCTTCAATCCATAATATTTGGGAGTCATAAGTGTGATTATGCCATTGTGGCAGAATGTCTTAGATTGAAGATTAAATAAATTGTTAATCTTTTGACTATTGAAAATGAAGTTTGGAGTTATACACTGTGGAAGTCCTGAACTATGTTTAATTCTAAGTACTAGTTAAGCAACTGGGATAAACTATGAAGTAAAATATAGTCTTTTGCATATTAGAACATTTGCTTTGTAGTCGATGTAATGTTGAACCTTAAATCATTCTTTTTCCCCTGCCTGGAATTTTAACCTCCTGTTTTCTCCATTCTATTTTGATTCCCTCAAAATGGGAGAGAGTTCCTTTCTTTGGTGTCTGTGCTGCTTTAGTACTTATCACATTGGTTACTAATGTTTTTTATATTTATTAATAAAGCAATTGCTTTCCCCTTGAAATGAGTGGTGTTTGCATAGAACAGGCTAAAAAAAAAAAAAGGTAAAATGAAACCATATCTAAATGTCGCCAACTGTGTTTCAGATACAGGGAAGAAAATGCAGTTACAACTCTGATTTTTCTCACCACTCTATGTAGATATAATTCTCCACAGGAGTGGTGGGTAGAATGGCCATAGGATCTCAAGAAACTGATCTTTTCTTGAAGAGAAGGTTTGACCTATATTAGAATGTAGGTTCTATGGAGCCTTACTACGCAAAGTCCCGGTATCCAGGGTATTCTCCAGTTTGTCATCATCCAAAGTGGTAAGGGAAAGCCTAACCTGGTCTCAACAACTCAGAGAAAACCTTGATCCAGTGAATACCCCTTAGTTCTCTTCCATGTGTTTCCATTATGAAAGCCATTTAATAAAAAGAAGAGACTAGAATTATCTTGTATGTCCGGGGGGAACCTATGGCTGTAAATCATTCTCTGTAGCTATGAGATAACTTGAAGATGTCTGCTTTGATTCTTATAGGACTTAAATATATAGCCTTCACCCTGGGGAGAGTTGCCAAACATTCAGTTTTTGATATGTCTGTGCAAAATCACACACATTGATAGTTGTAGATATATTGATGTAAATATGCACATGAATTACTATATACATTTATATGAAAACATACACATTTATATGCATATACATATGCATATATGACGTTATCTTGTTTATATATGAAACATGGCATTCATGTTTAGACTCAAATCAATTTATCAGAATCCCAGATGTATTACCCAGTTTCATATTTAAGTCAAATCAGATCCAGTGAATAGATAATTGATTCAAGAGTTCCATTTCTTAAGTGGAAAGTTTCTGGATATCAACTACTCAGCAATTGTCAACATATCTTAATGATATACAAGATATTTAAAAATATGACATCACTTTGTTATCTGTTATATCCTCTATTTTTAGTACTTATGGTTATCAGTTACTATCATTTATGTACATTAGTAGCTGAGCTATATGTACAGTGCTGCTATTTGGTTATACTAAGTCAGAACATTGTGTGTGAAGTTTGTTTACATGAGGTCTAACACAATGACTTCATAATTTAGTCCTTTCATACTGTATTTTCCTTGTACTTTAGAATTACTTGGGAGCTTTAAAGAAGCACTGAGATTCATCAGATTTAAACAGGAGTCCTTCCCTTAAATAGAACACATAATTTTATTTAAACAGATAAGTAAGGCCCTCCCTGGTTAAAGGGCAGAACTATGAAGCTATCCACAGCCACTGCAGCACGAATTCAAGCCACAGTCGGGAGGTGACCCCACATGGCATTACAGACCTCTCTTGACCTGCCTGCTGCTCTCCTCAGCAGTGTATTTCAATATACCTGCTGGTTTCTGCTCCCCATTCTGTCTCTAGTGAATCCTGTCACCCCCCTCCTCTGGCCTGTACCCTAGTTCTTGTATGCATAAAGAAATAAATCTTAAATAGATAAGCATTAGTAAAACCCTTAGAAATAATGTAATGAAGAAATTTTAAACAAAAGATAGTTTTTGAATTTAGATTTCTACTTTGTTCTCATGACTCCCATCTCCTGGAGTATACCAGACCTCACCAGCACTATATAACTGTAAGACTGAAGTCAGTTCTTCATGTAACTGATATGTTGGACCACTGGATTCACAATACAATTCTACCATCATCAAAGAGAAGCTAGTGGAAAAACCTTTTAATGCAATATCCACAATAAAACATGGGAGGAACCATGGTGACCAGCAACCCAAAATGCAGTCTCTCCTTTTCTGCCTTTATGCAGCTGGACTATCCATATTATCTGTCCCTGCACCTTTCTGAGGCAGGTTATGCTCAGGTTAATCTGTATAGCTCCTAGGGAAATCAGAGTTTGGATTGTATGGTTCACCTCTTTCCCTTTCCAGCAAGTAGAAGGAACTGAGTCACCATAAGAGATTGTGGCAGGAGAAGTCTTCTCGCTAGAAGGCAGCCTGAATTTTGCTGGGAGCTTCACGTGCCTGGTGTCATGCACCAATTGGGTGAATGACCCACTTAGCTAGTTTCTGGATTTCTTACAAAGGGAATATGTACAAAAATTGTTTATTGGCTCAGTGTGTTTCATGTAGGGTAGGAAAGAATAGGGGTTGATCTGCTGACATCTTGAGGAGCTGAATGGGAGTTTATGTTTGGACTCTTTCTTGGGAGATATGCAATTCTTACAGTGAAGGGAGAACTTCAGCAAGATATTGCATCCCTGAAGAACTAAAACAAATTATGATTCAGGTGTAAATAATACCCTTAGTTCACTATTACGCCTAGAAATTTTCCCTGGGGAAGAGATTGAACTGCCCTGTTTATAAGTCAGCATATATCATTATGCTCACATTAAATCTTTCATAATTTACAAGTGGTAAAAATGATGACAAAAAAGTCATATAGAACTAAATGCTATAATTCGATTATGATCTATACTCCTGACCGATTTCTATGGCACATCAGAAATTAAGTGTGGGCTTTACGGTCTTAGAATGCAAAGAACATAAGTCCCTGTGTCTGACGTTTGCCTTCCAGGACCTTGGGGCATTAAGTATGATACAAAAGCACTGAGGTTCCAGCTTTAAGGTGAGTGAGTGTTAGAATTATATTTATATCCATTTCCTCCTTGTTTGAGATGGAAGTCTGATGATGTAAAGTGTCATATCTTTTTTTTTTTTTTTCCAATTTGGAACCTGAAGTAAAATTGGCAGAATGATCTAGTTGTGGGAGAAGCTGGAAATGTTTAGAGATTTTAGCAGACCCAGACATGCATTATATCAGTTCATAAGCTCCTTTTCCACAGGTGGAACCATGACTCGTGTACATTTAGGGCTATTACTGGGGCAATAGCCTCAGACACTCTGTCATTTCATTTTACATTAGAACAGTATTCTTGGTCCCCAACACACCAAGTCTAATCTGCATTACAGGCTTGTGCCTGCCACAAAGAGTTGCTTCCTCTAATCTCACTGAGAAGGTTCAAGTAATAAAGAAATGTTAAGATGAGAGAAGGAAAATTGTGGTTTTGTGGCCCAAAGTTCTTCCTGACCCTCTGATTTTTCAGCAGTCCTTCAGTCTAGTCTAAAGGCTTGATGCTTCTTGCTGCTTGTATAAAGAGTACTTGTAAAGAGATCATCTATGCCACTCATTCATGATTATTAAACAACTCTACAGGCTCTTGTTGCTCTAAACTCAGATATTCCATTGCAAATGCCCTCTTACCAAGAAGAGAAATAATTAAGTTGTTCTCTGGGTAATATTTTACTCTTGTGCTCACAGATTCCCCTGAAGAATGGCTTCCGGAAATGACTTTTTTTTTGTGACTGAAAACCTCTTGATGGGATTAACAAAACGACTAGACCTCCAATTCCCCCTTGTTCCTCCTGTTTCTAGTAATATACATGATTACTGTGTTGGGAAATTTGGGTTTGATAAGTCTAATTGGGCTGAATTCACATCTTCATACTCCCATGTACGTTTTCCTCTGTAACTTGTCTTTCATATATTTGTGTTATTTAACTGTATACACACCCAATATGCTGATTAGTTTTGTGTTAGAGAAGAATACTATCTCTTACATGGGATGCATGACCCAGCTTTTCTTTTTCTGTTTCTTTGTGAAAGCAGAATGTATGTGCTGACATCAATGGCCTATGATCACTATGCGATCATCTGTAACCCACTCATGTACAACGTTGCCATGTCTCTTAAGGTGTGTTCCAGTCTGATGCTTGGTTCATACGTGATAGCATTTTTGAAAGCCATGATCCATACAGGAAGCATGCTGAAACTGACCTTCTGTGGTGCCAACAGGATCAATCATTATTTTTGTGACATCCTCCCTCTGCTTGAGCTTTCCTGTACCAGCACCTATGTCAATGAACTGGTAGTTTTCATTGTGGCGGGCGTGAACATCATCATGCCCACTGTCACCATCTTTGTGTCTTATGGCTTCATCCTCGCCAGCATCCTCCACATCAGCTCCACAGGGGGCAGGTCCAGAGTCTCCAGGACCTGCAGCTCCCACATCATGGCTGTTTCTCTCTTCTTTGGCTCATCTGCCTTTATGTCCCTCAAGCCCTCTTCCACTGGATCTTTGAATCAGGGAAAAATCTCTCTCTTCAATACCAATGTGGTTCCCATGATGAACCCTTTAATTTACAGTTTCAGAAACAAAGATGTTAAACTTGCTATGAGAAAAACCCTGAATAGGAGAAAATTTTGACTAGAACAAGATTTTTCTGTGTATACCTCATTACATATTTTGTGCATCTATTTAAAATTTTTTAGTTGGTGTACACTTTCCTAATTTTTCTTAACATGGCTAATTAAATATCTTCTCCTACTACATATATTCAGGCTTCTTATCTCTCTTTTTCTCTCCACTTGCAGAAAGTCTGTCCCTTCTTTCTGTTTAGTAAAAGATCAAGTAAGACATTAAATGTGTTTTATTAATTTTGGACATAGTTTTTACACTGAAAAAAGTCAATTGTCTTTAAACTATCTTATAATTTAACACAGTAGATGATATTAAGTTGTATCATTGGCTCTTACATGCCACTTGCAATGAAATGTGTGAGCCAGGTCTGCAGTCTCTGTCCCATACTTCCAGCTTCCTGTCATCAAGGATATGTCTTCTTTAAATGTCAGAGACTGTCACTTAAAGACTACACAGCATAATCTAATATTTATATGTTAATATTTTGCATCAAACTTTTCCAGAGTTTGTTTCCTTTGTACAGTCAAATGATGCTTAACTGTCAAGTACATAGACAGTGAGAGTCATCATGATAGATGACTTACTCAGTCACTCAGATTCACCAGTACAGTGAGAGAATTCACCAGAGACAGAGTGGGGAGCAGAACAGTCAGATCAACAAAGTACACTGCTGAGGGGAGCAGCGGGCGGGTCAGGAGAGGTTTGCCACACCGTGTGGCTCAACTCTGGGGCAAGCAGGGATCCAACTCATGCAGAAGTGGCTTTAGCTTCTTAGTGCTGTGCTTTTAACCTGCTGCGCCACCAGGGAGGGCCCTACACTAATCTCTTAGCCTACTGATTTCTGTCCAATACTTTTTGTGGTATAATTTGTATTGTTTTGTTTTATTATGTTTGTTTCAATAAGCATGGACTCTGAGAAAATAATTTTAATTTAAAGTTTGACCCTGTTATATTCCAGGGCAATCACTGAATTAATTTTCTGCCTTTTTTTTTTTTTAAATCTAAGAAAGTGGTTTTTTGTTTTTGTTGGAAATAGGAGATCTTCTAAGCTGATACATTTGTGAGAAGGTTGGCTCAAATAGGGAACTTACATTTTCAGCCAAATTGAAAAATCAAATTTGTGAAAGTTGCTGGCTTTATAATTCAGAGAACTGGGCATGGGAGAGAAAGGCTCATAGAAATATGCCATTACACCAGCCAGTATCAAGAGTGACTACTATCATTAATAAGAGGTCTCTGTCTGGGGAATGGTGATGAATATTAGAAATCATGTTTCATCCTTAAGTTTCATCCTTTCCATACAGTACTTTCATATATCCCACATGATAGCTCTTTTCCAAAAAAGAAAACTTTGTTAAAACTATAATTCTCAGCAATCTGTTTAACAAAATGAAGTTAGAAAAGCTATGGCCATGTTAGAGCCAGAATAGAGAGCAGGTGGAAGTTTCAGGACATAAGATAGGGTAGGGAATGGAAACTCAAGGCAGGCAGGAGGAATTTAGAAAATAAAACAGTGTCCTGAGACCCTCAGAAGTAAATTAGTCCTATTTTTTGTTGTCTTCCATATACTATTTCCAGATGGATTCTGCAGTAGTAAAAAATAGCATTGCGCAGGGATGACAACTACAAAGAAAATTAAGTGAATAAACAAAATTGTGACAATATCTTTTCTGAAAGGGTTTTTTTTTTTTTTTACATAAGGCAAACATTGTTAAAATTCTCAAAGATGTATCCAGGGACATCTATAAATAAATTCTAAGATATCTTTTAAAATATTTGCTATTTATTATTTCCCTGATCTTTACTCATTTATTTAGGCATTGTGAAATTTAGCACAGTTGATTTATTGTCTTGTTTGCTTGAAGATATTCGGCCTTGCTAAATACTTGAATAATTAAAAGTGATTATTTATGCCCCTTTTTCTGACACTAGTATCAACAAACTTGGCTTCCACTTACTAGGTTCTTTTCACACAGAATAGTTTATCTTAAATGGAGTTATCTTTTGTTTTCTTTCACTGGGATATTTGAAGTTTCTTTTTATGTAATGTCATTCAGTTTGATAAACTTGTTTTCCTAGTGAAAAAAAATGCATACTTAAACAAATACAGAGTAGCCGAGTTACTCACAAACCTTTGTAGACTCTACAGAGGTAAATCCAATCTGTAACGTGTTTATAACAACTTGAGGTTGCTCAAGAAAGGGCTAGATCTGGCAGCTAATCTTAAATTTCATAAGTCTCAAAATTAAACTTTCTCATGTTCAGAAAAGATAAACTTTCTTCAAATTAATTTGTTATTTGAAATAGTAATAAAAATAGTTTCGATACATTTTGTGATATATAAGACAAAATAGTTTAGATACATTTGTGACATATAAGATACATTTTGTGATATATAAGGCATAACATTTTAAAACATGCAATTTAAATAATTTTTAGGTAGCAATAAGTACTGTGAGGTATTTTACATGTGCGACGTGTGTGACGTAGTTATCTTTAGTAGTTTTTTTTTGTGTGTGCATTTTGTAAACGATACTGACAAATTATAAGCAGAGTTATGATGGTATTAAAATTGTCACAGTTGAGCGTCAACCAGATAAGCCAAAAGATACAGCTTGGTTTGTTTACTCAGAGAGAGCTGTTTCTAAATCATTGTGTCTGAGTTTAACAGAATATTGTACCCCTACTTTAGGATGAGAGCACTCCCAGATTACATCCTGTGTGTTCTTTGAACATGCTCCTACTGTTGCTCATGTAAAGGTTTGGAATGAACATGATATGAGTGCACTGTGGTTAAATGATGATGAAAAATAAATGGGGTTCACAATTCTATATCATGAATCCCCCACTTTACGGAACTCCATCCTCCATTCTTCTTCATACTGGCAACTCCCCACTCTCCCCACACAATGTCTTCAAGTCTTGTATTTTGTAGCATTTGCAAGACATTCAAGTAGATAATTCCTGTTCCAGTCTCATCAGGAAGCAGAAGAAAATTGATATTGCTTCACACATCCATTTGTTTATGTAAAAACAAAATTGCTCTATTTTCAAGAAAAAAGACAAAATTGGCAAGATGACCATATCCAGGCATACAGCAAATGAGAGGGGCATACAGAAATAGGGCAGAGGTTCCTGGGTGATACACAGCAGAACTTTGGGCACTATGATGATGTAAGCAAAAACATGAAAAGAGTGACTTAAAAGAAGATTTTAATTACACAACATAGCAGAATAAATCCTACGCATGAACAGATAACTAAGATTTGTGATTTGATTTTGTAATAATAAAAGTAGGCCCTCCCTGGTGGTGCAGCAGGTTAAAGCACAGCACTAAGAAACTTAAGCCACTTCCACATGAGTTAAATCCCCGCCTGCCCTGGAGGTGACCACATGGTGTGGCAGACCTCTCCTGACCTGCCCGCTGCTCCTCTCAGCAGTGTACTTCGTCAATCTGCCTGTTCTGTTCCCCACTCTGTCCCTGGTGAATCCTCTCACCCTCCGCATCTCTGGCCTGTACCCCAGTTCTGTATGAATAAATAAATAAATATTTAAAAATAAATAAAAGTAGACAGACAAGTAGAATAGTCAAACCCAGGAATAAAATCACAGTTTTACGTATAGTAATACAGCAAAGGAATAAAGACATACAATGGTGAAAGGAAAGTCTCTTCAAAAAATGGTGTTGGGTAAACTTGACAGGCTATGGAAAAGAATGACACCAGACCCCTATCTCACACCATACATGCTCATACACTTCAAAATAGTTTAAAGTTTTGGATGAAATAACCTGAAATCACAAAATAAGTGGATGAAAGATTAGACAGAAACATTGTATGGTATTGGATTTAGGAGGACCCAACTCTGGTGCTAAGGGAATCCAAAGCTACAACAAGCAAATAAACTACAACAGAATTCACAGGGAAAGAATGTAGCATTAAAATGAAATACAGCCTGTAAAGTGGGAGACACTCTTTGCATATCAACATTTGACAAGGGGCTAATATTCCAGATCCATTAGAACTTCTGCAACTCAACAATAATAGAGCAAATAAGCCAATTTTTAAAAATGTGCTGACAATCAAAATAGACACATCTCCAAAGAAAACATACAAATAAATGGCTGACAAGCACATAACAAAATATTCAACATCACTTACTGGAGAAATACAAATTAAAACTACAATGAGATACACCTTAGTTATGATATTGGGCCGTATGAAAAGTAATGGCAACAGCAAGTGTTGATGAAGATGTGGAGAAAAAAGAGCACTTGTTCTCTGTTGGTGGGAATGTATATTGGTTCAGTACCTATAGAAGACAGTATGGAGGTTTTCAAAATAGAAAAAACAAGTCTCCCCTATGAGCCAATAATTGCAATCCTAGGTTAGCTACCTGAAGAAATCAAAAACACTAATTCAGTGATAAATATATTCCTATTTTCATTGCACTCTTGAAGAAACACTGTTTAAGATAGAAAGTAGTAGAAACAACCTATACATTTAACAGCAGATAAGTGGACAAATAAAGATATGTTACACACACACACACATGTCTGTAAGGATTATATATACTGCTAAACATAGGTACATATATAAATAGTTCTGTAAGGGCTACACACACACACACATACACACACACACATACACACACACACATACAGGAATACTAAGCAACTAAAAAAAAGATGCAGTCTTGCTATTTGTGACAACATGTATGGAATTGGGAAGGATTATGCAAAGTGAAATAAGTCAGAAGGGCACTGATCTCAAATATAGACAAGAAAAGGTACAGATGAAATGAACCCCCACCCCATGCCTAGAAGATTGAAGCTACCAGCAAGATGGTTGAGGCTAGTGAACAAAGAGGACCCCAGTGGTGGTAAACTATGATATGGTGAACTTGGTAGTGGGTGTGGTATGGACTTGTATTTCTGAATCATATACAGTGTTATAATTCAACATTACCTCCGAAAGTACAAAAAAAATTTGACTTGGGAGGGCCAGAACTGAGCTCTCAAAGGTTATCTGGCAGAAATGTAGATGAGGAAAGCGGGGAGACACTAGATTTAGTCAGAGACCACTAGGAGGGCATTTCAGTGAAGTATAAACAGAAGTTGTATGGTGTCCAGACACACTGAGTTTGCTATGTGAAGTAGAAATTGCATAGAATGTGAGAACTGTCATATATTTTCTGAGGCTCTCAGCCAAAGAGAATATGATTTTCAGAAATGCATTTATATTCAGTTGCTTCTATTTGCTCCACATTGCTTTCAGTTCTGGGAGAAAAGTCTAAGCTAAAGATGAAATATTTGACCTGACAGAACTTACATTTTATAGGAAACACAGGAGTTAAGGGGAAAATGTATGAGTATTGTGTAATATACTGGAATTTATGTGAAAATAAATGCCAACTGACATTTATTAACTACTTACCATATACTAGGCATGGTTGCAACCGTGTTAGTTCTGGTATTTCATTTAATTACTATAAGAGATTCATGAAAGAGGTAATGTTTTCACCACCCCTCTCTTAACAAAGATGAACACAGACATTAGCAACTTGCTCAAATAATAACAGTAGGAGTGGAAAATAGGAAGGAAATTGCAGGGAAAGATGGAACTCGTCTCTCCCTTTCCATAGAAATTTCCACAGAAATACCAGAGAAAATTGTTACCTCTGCTATTAAGTTTTTAGGCCAAAATTTCCAATATTATTTAAAAATAAAAACTTTGGTAGGGAGATGAAACCCTGCAAAAAAAAAAATCTTTAGAGATTTCCTAAGGAAGAGACTTGAAGTAACTTGTTATAGTTTTTGAAAAATAGCCACCAATGAAAATCTTGAGACTGAAACTTTACCAAAAAAATCCATTTAAGTTAAGGGAATAAATGGAATATAAAAGAGAATAGACTTTCCTTAGTAGAATATAACAGAGATGCAGGATTCATTTTAGATCTATACTGAGAGATGTGTAATCCCCAGAGGGAAGTGAAATGGGCAAAATCTGAGTCCCTAACAATTTCAAAGCAGGCCATTGTGTATATATACCCTATTCCCTCTATACCCATAGACTAACCCATGGGGAAAAGACTGAACAAATCCCTTCCCTGTTTATAACCAAGATCTTCGGTAGCAAATACAATAATAATAAAGACTTAATTTTTCTCTGCTACTTGCAAGGAATGCAAAGCACCATCAGAAATTATGACCTGTGGTTCAGAAGACTCCCAGGCTATAGATAAAGTGAAGGCTGGACAGCATTCTCAGAGACTGAGAGGAATCAGACTCAGAATCTAAAATTGCCCATCTAAGACCAGAGGGGCAAATTCCAGGGTAAGAGAACACTGAGACTTTCTGACCTAGGGAGGGTGCATTAATTCATGTCATTTCTAAGCCTGTCCTGTTTGCCTTGAGAGGCAGGGCCAGGCCCCTAGATGTGCCTAGTTCTTTATCCTTCCTAATGTGTGGTTCTGAGATCTGATGTCCTTTGCTGCCTTTGGCTTATTTAGCCTCTGGTCACATAGGGGTCACTCATGATAGTGGCCAAGTGGGTCTCATGGGTCCAGGTGGGCTTGTGCCCACATTGCCAGTTGTTCCTGGATGAGGTACTGAGGGAAGAGTTGAGTTGCTCGCTAATGTAAACTTTTTTTCTGTGTCCACCTATGGCTTAGAAAAGAATGGCTCCTGGAAATGGCTCCTTTGTGACTGAATTCATTCTCAAGGGTTTAACAGACCGACCAGACCTGCAACTCATGCTGTTCCTCCTATTTCTAGTGATGTATGTGGTCTGTATGTCAGGGAATTTAAGTTTAATCATTTTAATTGGACTGAATTCACGCCTCCACACCCCCATGTACTTCTTCCTCTTTAACTTGTCCATCATAGACATATGTTATTCTTCTGTGTTTACACCCAAAATGCTGATTAACTTCCTGTCAGAGAAGAATCTTATCTCCTACACAGGATGCATGACCCAACTTTTTTTTTTCTGTTTTTTTGGCATTTCTGAATGCTATGTGCTGACATCAATGGCCTATGATCGCTATGTGGCCATCTGTAACCCCCTCACATACAATGTTGTCATGTCTCCTAAGGTGTGTTCCAGCCTTATGCTGGCTTCCTACTTCATGGCATTGTCTGGTGACATGGCCTTCACGCTCTGCATGCTGAGACTGAGCTTCTGTGATGCAAACACCATCAACCATTATTTGTGCGACATTGTTCCTCTACTCCAGCTTTCCTGCACAAGCACTTACGTCAATAACCTGGTGAATTTTGTTGTGGCAGGCATGAACATCATTGTGCCCACTGTCACCATCTTTGTGTCTTATGGCTACATCCTCTCCAGCATCCTCCACATCAGCTCCACAGGGGGCAGAGCCAAAGCCTTCAGCACCTGCAGCTCCCACATCATTGCTGTTTCTCTCTTCTTTGGATCAGCTGCCTTTGTCTATCTCATACCGTCTTCTGAGGGGTCTATGGATCGGAGAAAAATCTCCTCAGTCTTTTACACCAATGTGGTTCCCATGATGAACCCCTTAATTTATAGCTTGAGGAATAAAGATGTTAAACTTGCTATGAGAAAGTCTCTAGGTAGGATGAAGTTTTGACCAGAAACAGAATATCTGTTTCGTTAATCACAGCACAGGGAGTGTCTGTGATGTAGCTTCAGTGTTTTTATTGGTAGCTTTATTTTCCATAGCTTTCTTAACCATTGTGAAAGAAACTGAGTCTTCATGGAATATTTTATATCATAGGTCTTCTTTGTTCTCCCTCACTTGCACAGTTTTTTCCTCACTTCCTTCACTTTCAGTAATGCTAAACTTATTTCATTGTCATTTTGAAGTCATTTCTCCTGCTCTCCCCACCCTAGAATTGCAAATAGGTCTACAATTTGAATTGGTAGCCTTTTGTCAAAATCAAGTCATATTAAACTAAGACAACATTTTGGGGATTTACCCCATTGAAGTAATGTACTGGTATATCAATGACTTCTCTAGCATGTTGTTCTAGAATAAAAATTGGATAGTTAGAATTTTAATACAGGTGGTATTGTAGGATACATTAATCGTAAATAATGGTGGGAGATTTCAGTGAAGTGTTGTGAAATGACAAATGCAAAAGCTAGAAAATATAATTTCATAAATTGTAAAGCTTCTTTAATTGTGTTTAGTTATCAGCCATAGGTACATGGAATTGCTTTAGGGTATAAACTAATGGCAATGATTGGAGCAGTGCAAGGAAAGGAAAACTAGACAAAAAGCAACAGGAATTGATGGACTCTACAAGACAAAGTGTTTAGTAAGTTGTCATATAGAACATAATGCTAAAAATACATTAATATGTTTGTGTGGGAAGATAAACATATACATGAAAAAATGTATTGGTATTTTAATAACTTGCTGCAAGATATTTGCAAAAAGACCTACATTCCAAAGAAGTGCTGGGAGAAAGAGGAAAGAAAGTCATTATTTCTACACTTCTTGTCCAAGGGAGAGTAAAATATTGAGCCTCCGAAGACGCAGGGTAAAATAGCTCTATTTTTGTAATATCACCTTCTTCACTCTGCCTTCCCTGAAGGTTTGATAATGGAGGGCTCACAGGTTCCCTCTCATGCACCCACAAGAGGGAGATGCTGATGCTGAGAATAAGATCATGAACTGAGGCTGTGTTTGGATGAGCACAGAGAACTATGGACATGCTTCTTTCTAGTTAATGACCACCTCAGGCAGTATCGTATTAAAAGTCATGATCTTTATCTGACTGACTTTTTTGAGTTTATCGAGGCATGGACTGACTTTTTTGAGTTTATCGAGGCATGGAGTAAGGTTTCTCTGCTCTTCTACCCCAACCCCTAAGCGGGATTTAGTTCTACCCTATCACTTCCACAGTAGTTCACTATACACATTCATAAATGTGTGTATATATGTATATCACTGTATTCACTATATATAGGAGACAAACCCACAGGTATTCTGATTACTTTCAGCAAAACAGAATGATCACTGAATCTTTTATGTTTCTCCTCATCTGTGGCCATAACTGTGGATAAGTAAAGGTCTCTGTGAGATTGCTTCCCCATTTCACCTGTGACCTGTGTCATGATCCCTACCTGCATGGAGGCCCCCACCTGGGAGCTCCTTGAATAATGAGGCTTCATTCTTGGTTATTTTCTTTTTCATTTTCTAGTGTACTCTTACTCCTTCTTTCTTTCTTCTTTTTTTATTCCTTATTCTGAGTCTCCTTGATTTCTCTTAACCCTTCAGATACCAGCTGAAGGGAAACTTCTGTCTTACCCATCATACATAGCTGAGGTGCTCTTTCCCATATTTCCCAGTATATAGCAGTCAGGCATCACACAAAGACTTGAGAGCAGTCTTTCCATGCTATGTCATTCATTTCCTGATGATTTGTCTAACCTGTGACAGAAGGCACCATGTGTCTTTATTTTACCTGTGAGTGCTTATATGAGCCCATACTTGGTAAATAAAGGTATAGTAACTTGATGAATAAGTACATGCATGTTTGCTATATTACTTTAAATTTATTTCTCCTCCCTCAAATGCTTTTGTATTCATTTAGTTTTGTGGGACTTCCACTGCCCCCCCCACTTCTTAAATCATAATGATAGAAAACAACGATGTATTTACATGGTATTTGATAATACATGTATTCAGGAATTGGAGGAAGAAGGTTGAGTCAGGCAGACTCCTGGGAGCAGAATAGAATAAGTAAACTCAGACTTTCTGGTAGTAGGCTACTTGGGTTTAAATTTCAGTTTGTCTTTTGCTAATTACGTGTGTCTAAGAGACATTACTTAACCCTGTCAAGATAACTTTTTCCTCACCTCTAAAAGAAATAAAACCTAATTGTATCTGCTTAAAACAACTACTGTGAAGTCGTTCATTTGTTTAGGATTTATGTTGAAACAAATAAGGTATAGGTTAGGTCTGTTAATGTGTAGCAGGATCATTTCATTTTCAGAACCTCAGATTAAAAATATGCAAAATAAAAAATTTGGTTGGAATACTTCAGGGTTCCATGTACTTTAAAAATTATGTGACCATGGGGTCTCAATTTACTGGTTTATTCAATGTAGGGTTGAACTTAATTAACAATAAACTGTATGTGTAAGTATAAGTCATTCAGGAAATCATTGAAATTTTGATCCCTTAGTTCCATCTCAGTCATATATCTGTAATTCCTGGGCTGTACATTTGGTGTTCATTTTCAGTGGTTGTGTTATTAGTTGTCTGGTGATCAGAACTTTCTATTTCAAATATTTGAGTCTTCTCTGCAACATGGTCCACATGTTAACTTTTCTAGAAAGAGCATTTCCTGGTTTCATGAAAGCTTAGGGAGGATATCAGGAAAGAGTGGTCAGCAGTGCTCATTGTTTAGAGAGGTTAGATTAGTAGAGGCTCAGATCATTGGCGTTAGTGGTCTGCAAATTTGGCAAGAGATGGAAGTGGTAAAAGCAGAAACCTGAATGTAACTGATTAAGAGGCCGAGGGAAAGGAAGTAGAAAAGTATGCATAATATTCTTCTTCAAGGTGAATTAGAATAACAGTACCTTTCTTTTAATGGTCAACTTATTTTTTTATTTTAGTTTATTTTTATACCATTTTGTGCATTTTTCCATCTCAGTTGCAATCCCCGTGGGCTTCCCATCACCAAATCACCCATGTGCCATCACCATAGTCCAGTGCACTTCCCTCCTGAGTGAAAGGGGGAGTCACTGGAGGGTTTGGGGAAGAGAATTGATACCATATGACTTGCATTGTAACAGGATCACTCTGGCTATGGGTAACATGGGTAAATGAAGCAGTTAAAACTATTGCAATAAAACTGCAAGGAGGTAATGAGCAACTGCATTGGCATAGCCATGGAGGTGATGAGGCAGTTATGTATGGCAGAGATAGTAGGATTTGCAATTGATTTTTGTTTTAGAGAAAAGATTTTGTTTTAGAGAAAAAACAAGGTGAAATACTGACTGTAATGTTTTGGGCCTTAATGACAGGAAGAATGGAAATTTCACTGAATTACTACATGGATACTATTAAAGAAGCAGCATATTTTTGGAGCAAGATCAGAATTTCTCAGTTTTTAAAATGTGTGTGTACGTGTGTGTGTGTAGAGTTATGTGTGTGTGATTTTATTACATTCTACTATACCTTACACACATTTAATTGTATAACACATTCATATATACATACATATGTGTGTACATGTATTTAGAGGGAGATCTTTAGCTTTGAGTCTGAGGATACTAAGGAAATTTTTGCACTTTATATAATTTTTAAAAAATTTTTACAATGTTCATATATTACCTTGAGAAATAGCAAAATAAAAGTAAAGAAGAAAATGCAGTCTATAAAATTTGTAGAAGAGAACGTAAGAGGAAATCTAGATAATGATTGGTTTGACTTTTTAAATACAACATAAAAGGCCCCATTCTATGAAAGGATGAATTGTTACATAGGAACCCACTAAAATGCACAGCTTGTATCAAGAAAGGCAATATTTGTGGAAGGAAATATCAAGAAAATGGGAAGACAAGCCACAGGCAAGTTACTAAGAGAATATGTATTAAAAGTTCTCATCCCAGAATAATAACTATGTGTGGTGATGGGTGTTATCTAGAGTTATGATGCGATCACTTCACAATGCCCACACATCCACTGTTTATCTACTCATATGTTAAGAACATTTAGTTGCCCCCATGTTTTGACAATTGTGTATAAACATTTAAGTGAAGGTGTTTATGTAAATGTACATTTTTGTACCTACTGGTATCATACGTTAAAAACTCCCTCATTTTGTTAAACACTGCCAAGTTGCCTTCCAGAATAGTTACACCATTTCACATTCCCATCAGATATAAATGAAAATTTCTGCTGCTTCACAAACTTTTCAGCGTTTTGTACTGCTAGTGTTTTGGATTTTAGCCATTTGACTCCATATGTTGTTGTATTTCATTGACTTAACTTGCAATTTCATGATGACATAAGATGTCATATGTTTATACAATAGCTATACTTCATCTTGGGTGAGATATCTGTTGAAATATATATATATTTTTTTAATTTGAGGTTTTTCTCTTGTTTTCTTACTGAGTTCTTCATCTGTTTTAGATACCACTTCTTTATATGTATTGGGCAAAATCTGTCGCCAAGTTGCAAGTTGTCTTTTCATTGACTTTTGTGGGGCAGAAGTTTTACTCTTAATGAAGTCCAACATCAATTATTTTTCCTTATATAGATTTTGGTATTGGTTTTGTATTTTAAAAAGCCATTACCAAATTTTAATTTATATTATCTTATTCTATTTTCTAAGAGTTTTATGGTATGTCTTGCATTTAACTTCCAGTTAATTTTTTATAAAGATATGAGCTATGTTCACATAATTGTTTTTGTACAAGAATATAGACTTTTTCTGTCACATTTTGTGGAAAAGACTTCCATAAATCCTTAACCTTTGTCAGTGGTCAGTTGAGTGTATTTCTGTAGGTCTGTTTCAGAATTCTCCACTCTCTTGTATTAATCTGCTTATTGTTTAGTCTAAACCGAGGGGGAGCAATTTCCAATCTTCCCTTGCTCCTAATCTGAGC